ATGAAGAAAGAACGAGCAACCCCAAGAGAGCTTGGAAACTTCCAAGTTAATAATGAAAGGAGAGATGATTCACAGATGAGAAGCAAAAAAACACATCACGTCATTCGACATTACTTGAAAAAGAGAAAGGCAAGATATCAACTGCGAACAACCTTCAACTTTAATATTTTAAATATGAAAAAACAAAAATATATGGATGGGTTTTCTTCAAGCCATCAATTCCAAGTGTTTTGACTGTAAAAACATAATGTCGAGAAAAGAAAAGAAAATGGCAAGCACATCGCTGTGGTCATTGATAACGTTGTCAGTCATGTGTGTTAAAGAAATCTGAGAGTAAGTAGGAAGAAAAAAACAAACATTTTCCATATTTACTGATAGAATAAAAAGAACACGTGGTGAAAAATATAATTAAGATTTAACCCGTTGACTTGATCAAGTTCGTAACCGATAAATATTAATATCGGATTCTTTTTTCTAAGCATATAATTAGTCGTTTTTACTGCAAAGGTAAGTAGTTCACTGACTACAACCGTGAATGTTTGTATTATGTTTCTATTGATTAATGGAAGAATATATATGCTATTTTTATCGATACTGTTTGATAATTAACAAAAAATTTCATGCTAAATTGTTTTCTTCATCAAATTCATATATTTAGTAACTGCCTGCCTTCTTTATGTCAACATTTAAACAGTCGAAATTTTGGTGAAATATAATTATTAATTTTTCGATCCGTTTTAGTTTTGAAATTAAATTTACAAACAAATAAATATATTTACCTTTCTAAACCCAAAAGAGTTAATTATACAATGTGATCTGATCAAATTCTAGCAGAATCCTGTAAGAATATTGTCGAAAGTGAGTGATGGAATTATATTCGTATCTCTAGTGTTAAAACCTAATCAGATTCTATTATCAAAAGCAGTTTTGATCCCAGCATTGAACTAGAATCAAAACCGAGCGTCACGATCCGATATGATCTTACAGAATACGATCATTTTAAAGTAATGCAATACATGAGCACTAACGATGGCTTCAAACTGAAACTATAGTATCGATCAAATTACTAACCAGAGAACCATTCAAACTGTTTACCCGCCGTTTGAGCTTATATCGAACCTACAACAGCGCCCTAGTGAGATTAAAAAAGGTCTAAAGGAATTTATTTCCATAGAATTTTGGAGACGCGTTACGATCATTTTTATTGAATTTCCTAGCCAACTTCAGGTATATACTGAAAAAATTACTAATCAAATTTCGCCCATGTATAGACCGAATGACACACAAAATATTCTGAAAACCTCAGTTAAAAGTAATGCTGTTTTGTTGATATATCGAAATTTCAAAACAATTTATTTGCTACAGGCGTAATAGAAAAAACGAGTTTACTTAAAAACTCAATATCTTGACAAAAAAAATCATTCTTTTTTGGCTGAACCTTTCAGAATATTCTATGGATCATTAGGCCTATCAATGAGTAAAACTTCTGGTCGAAATTTCCTTAGTTGATTTTGGAGTAAAGATCTGAAAATCAGTTGAAATTCCAGTAAAATGATCATTACTCGATCTCGAAGATCTATGTGGAAGAAGCACTTTCAACTTTTACTAATTGCTGAACAAAGTCACAGCTGAATGCTTTCAAAATAATTGCTAGATCTTGTTGAATGACCGGCACATATAGATCATGTGATCAGTTAATGATACGATCGATAAAATTTCAATTAAATTTGACTACCTAGATTGAATAAACAACGTGAAAAATTTTAGTAGTGATTAGAGTTTTGAGTTTTTAGACCGCAAAAAAAATATCGATAAAACTTTATAGGATTTCGTTCGTTTTGAGACATAAGTCTTCTATGAATTAAAAGCCAAACTCAGAAGTTTTTTTTACAAACAAAGCAGTGCAAGAAAAATATAATCTAAAGTTAGATGTACATTAAATCTTAAATTTTCGAGCATCAGTATGTATGGTCATCATCAACAGAGATCGTATGACGATTCAATTAGAATTAAAATTATGATAGGATTAGTATTTTATTTACGGTTATTCATCGTTTCGTTTTTTGTATTTTTTTCTTGTCATTCCTATTGATGATTATTGCGCACAGTAAAGACCGAAAACTTCAGATTCAATGTAAAACAAAATTGATATTGCTTTTCTTTCATTTTTATGCTTGTTACTTATACTCAAGCATTCAGTTTCATGCTTTCTAAGAACAAATAGAACATTCGGATTTGTGACTCCGACGATTATATGAATATACTGCATACAAGGAAGAATTGTTAACCGTTAAAGTAGATACACTTACCGAGCCATTCCCTTTAGATAATACGTCAGTCATGGCAAAACAGTTCTCTGCGGATTTGCAAAGTTATCATTGAATATCAATATTCACTTGCTGATGTGAAAGTGGAATCTTACTTGAAAGATTATTTAACTACAATCTTTAGTTTCAGTTGGAACAATTTTTCTCTCATAGACCCGATCCCGATAAATTTCCAAATTTTAGTTTTTTATCGGCATTTTTTTCTTCTAGTTGTTCATTATGAAAAGATACAATTGATAAGTTTGAATCAATTTAATCTGTGACAATTATTGACTTTGTTTCAAGTGTGAAGGAAACAGGAGAATATTTCATACACAAAAGTTTTTTGTTCGCGGAGAAAACAAAAATACATCTGCACATACATTCACATAACTCTAGTGGAGAAAGAAAAAATGTCATCATATACGTTCGATTTCTTACGGAACATCACAAGAGACAAAAAAAAAACAGTTGGAAATAATGAGATTATGCATATTCAAAAAAAAACACAATAATGACTAAATAGTTTTCATTGAGATTATTATTGCTAATATGAAGATGATTATTCCAAAGTAGTAAGAGGTCCTTCAAGAAATAATTGATGAACATTTAAAAATGCTGATAACTTCAATATCATGTTATGTACTTGAACATTTTCAAGAAGATCATTTCATAATTGTGGTTGAGAAGCTGGATAAAAATCGAAGCCACAAAAGTTTATTAAAGAATTCCATTACGATATTTTCTCTTCTCTGTTAAAAAATCTTTATTTGTTAGATCAAGTTAATTAATTTCGGCTCTGCTCTAATCGTAACTTTTATTATTCATAATTCAAACAAATGAATAATGGGAAGATAACCATTGCAATACATTATTAGTCGTAGCCCTCACAACAGATAAGAGATTTCTTTTGGATTATCAAACTAACAAGCCACAAAAATATTTGACTATGTTGATATCATATTTAACAACAGCAAGAACTGTCAATTTTTTCTCAAGTTAGTAATAGTCAATCAATAATCCAGAAATCTGAAATTTCTGTCTGGATGATTTAATTTCTATAAGTTCAGCTTGGTCCATTGAGTCCGAAGTTCGTTGTGACTGTAACTATGTAGGCATCATTTTACATATTTGGTTGAATTTGGTACCATTCCTTCCTTTACGAATAATGATTTCAATAAAAAGTTCATAGATTTGTTTTGAACGACGACGAATTTGCAATTGTGAGTGCAAATAGTTTCTGTAACACATTTTCGTTATAAAATAGAACAAAAAATTGTCAAAATATTGAAAAGGAATGATGGCAACAGCATGGGTATTATGTTACTCCGTATAACATCTAACGACTCCGCTGAATGATTGATTGAATTCCAAGTTTAGTCTGAACTGTAATTACAAAATCTAGGTCATATGACTATAATTGCTGCAAAGTGGAATTGGTTTTTCTTCCATTCGCTATACAGTGAAATCTAATATTGTTTCCTAGCGGAATAGAAATTTTATTATAGACAAAATAAGGGACGAATAGATCTGCCGTGTTGGGTATGTAGATGTGAAAGAAAACAACATCCACACCTAAAACTACACTAGAAAAAAATACTGTTCATTGTAAAATATGTTCGATCGAGATTTGACTTGTAGGGGATCACAGGATAAAATTTTAGTGGTGAATGACTGAGAAAGTATAGTGAAGTTTTCATTAGAAATATTTCAAGATGAAAAATATGCTTTCTAGTGTAGTTTTGTCATGGTGATTCCGAATATGAGATTTCTTTTTAATATAAATCAATTATTGTCTATCAAAACCTCGAAATATTCTTGGCTTTTTGCTATTTTGTATGGAGCTACCCATTCTCTAAAGATATCGGCCTTTTTTGGTAATGCTAAATGTATCAAAGGCCTGATTTAGTAATTTTATATCACCATACTATCCACAACAAAAAAATATTAACCAGTCAAGGATGTAGAATCTATGGAAAATAGACCAGCATTTTCACACATATCTTATCGATGATAGAAAAAAAGATGATTTTTAATCAAAACTGCTTGACTTTTCTCAAGGGCCATAATTGTGAGATATCCTAGATAGTAGAACTTGATGTGCTTCATCACTGATAGAAATATCAGAGCGACTGCTTACTACCAGATAAAATGCGATTGACCGACATTTTGGTAACAAAATACAGAAAAACAGACTTTTTTGGTAGTACTTTGGAGGGTATAGGTGTGGGCATCGAAGTCTTCTCTTGACTCCCACCCACACATTGGCACTCATACCCACCCAAAAACTCTGTGATAGATTTTTCGAAAATTAAGAAGACATTACAATAACAGAACATGTTCCTAAATATCAATTCAGAAGCTTCAATTAAAATGTAACAAAACAGAGAAAGTTGATATTTGATTTTCTATATATTAACTTTGAAAGAAAAAAGGAAATAAACAGGCTATTCGTGATCAATGCAAATATATTTTCGATCAACATCACCTTAGAAAAATTTCTTGACAAACAATCAAACAACAATTAAGAATAGTAGCATCAATGAAAATGGTTTTAAGATCGCCTTAAATGAGAAAAAGGGAATATTTTCTTTATTTTAAATATCTTGTTTCAGTCTTCGATCGAATCAATATGAATTTCTAGATTTATTACAGTTTTTTGAATTTATGGACATTTTTAATGAATCTAGAAAATTAAGTTAGACGAAGAACAGATTTGATCAATGGATGGAACTGATCTGAATTGAATTGATCTAAAATAATACTTTCCATTTCCGACATTAATAATTGATAACGAAGAAACTGAAAAACAATAAATTGTATAGCATGTATTGCATCTTTTTCTTTATAAATAACATTTAAATATTTCCATAATAATGTTATAAAGAAATGTTGATGTTGAATTATTAAATTTTTATCAATAAGTTGAATTGATAATTGATTATAAGGTAATCTCGATAAATTAATTATAAACATAAAAGCAACAAGTACTATTTTTAATACCATTGGATATTGAATAAAATAATCAAGTGAATGACGTGTTTTTGACATTTGTTGATGAAAATCAGGACTTATCCATTTACTCATATATAAACCAATTTTTGGACTTTCTACAAAATTATCTTTTAATACATGATGAATATGAATTAAATGTGTTATATTGCATTTTATTAATATTATTTGATCTTCTAGATTTATTTGTTTAAAATGTGGAATTTTTTTATAAAATTGGATCAAGCTTCTAAACATTTGTTGTTCATCATTGAGAAAATCTTTTAATGTTGAATCGACTAATGAATAATTATTTATACGAATTGTATCACAATCTAATGTTGATGTATCATATGCATCTTTTATATTATTAATTAATGACCAATCATTCAATGTTAATTTTGAAGAATAATTATCTGTATTCATGTTAAATATCTATGATGAAGAAAAACAAACAGAAATTATTTAATTAATACTATTATTTCTCCAAAAAAAATCAGCTTATGAAATTCTCAATAGACTTTAAAACAAACATATTTCATCGTACTAATTCATATATGATGTAGCAAAAAAAGAACAATTTGTAAAGACCAATAATAATGTAAGTCACATTTCGCACAGAAATTCAAAGACAAATTTGTCTATTATGATCTTATTTGTTTTTATTTAATAAAATAAATGCGAAAATCTAGGATTTAAATCCGAGTGTTATGTGTACTGCGAAAAGTGAAGAGATATATTCACTGTTTTCTATCAACTGAACCATATTTAGCCTATTTGCTTTTTGCATGCAGTTTTTCTGCATTTTGAGACAATTTTCATGGGATGTTTTGTTAGAAAGCTACGATTTGGTTCAAAACTAATATCAGATTCGGAATCAGCGTTAAAAACTGAGTAGATTTATATATGTTGTGAATAATGCT